TATACACATATATATATACACACATATATAAAACTCATCTTTAAATATGAATAGACTATTCCTTGTGAAATAAGAAACAACTCCACTGACCTAATTTTCTGTTCTATATCAAAAAGCCTTTCTTCAATTAGGGTTTGATATGTTAATGCTTTGGGGTGATTATTGTACAGAGTCATTCCACCATTTTTGACACATAAATTCTGCTTTTCTATATTCTTTCATGCCAGATGCCAAATCAACAATGTTTGGAGTTAGGGAAGTCAGGGAATGCCAAACAAAAATGAGGACCCGTTCTAGCTAAGATGTTGGAGTCACAAATAAGCGATATTTTAAAAACTCAAAAGGAAAGAAAAAGAAATCAACCTTTGCATTTTCAAGGTCCTTTCAATACCCCAAGACACCTCTGAACTAGATCTGGTTGATGGGTACTTGTTGTGTGGCCAGCGTAATTTGATTTTTTTCATAATCATCTTCCTTTTCTATGAAGATTTCCATTTTACAAGGAGAAAGTTGATTTTGATATGTAGTGAACTGCAGCATCCATTAAAATAAATGCCATTAGGATACATATATAGCCTTATTTTATTCATTATTAGTAATCTGGGTTTATTTCTACATTATACAGATTTCTAAGGATCTGTTATGGGATGTGAATGAATATATTATCAGAACACATTTGGACTTACATGCAGGAAAATTTTTAATAATGCCTGTAAAACTGAGTTGGGAGTAGCTTCTTGAACATTTTAAAAGATTTTTGTTATTCATTTAATTTTTTTTTTCTTTTACTAAGGAGGGAAGAGACCTGATTTAGAGCTCTTGGACTTTAGAGACACTAAGAGCTTCCACTTTTATTGAAATAAAACAGAATTAGGAAACTTTTGCAATTGTGGAGAAGGAAGACAAAAATTTAGCCAGAACAAGGCTCCCCACCCCCACTTCTGGTAAAACACTGTAGACTCTAGTTTCAACCAGTGTCTAAAGCTAAGGAAAATCATGTAAAGTCTTGAACTTCAATGAAAAATATTTTTTAAATCCTGGTATTTTTTAGTGAGTTGTATTTTGAATGGACATCTCAAGGACTCAAATTAGTTCAGCTACCTCAGTCTTTCGAGAAGAAATATGTTTTAATGTTTGAGCAGGTTAAGATCAAAACTACATTCCACTAGGGTTCTTAGGCCCAAGGGAGCCCCAGAACCTGACACTGGCAAAAGGAGGCATATTGGGGAGTAGGGTAGCTGAGGTGCCTGCCCCTCCTTCCCCACTGTGGGACCACCTACTTCCCTTCTCCTTTTCATAGGAAATGGTTGTTTTACATACGAAAAAAGACTCCTAAGAAAAAGTGAATCTGCAACACATGAATTGCTTTCTTTCTATCTTCGTCCTTGCCAGGTTTTCACCAGGCCTCCCTCACCATCCCTTCCACCCTCTTTTACCTTTTCCAACAGAAGTAGCTATTGAAGCCACGTAGCAGGATACACAGGCCTATGTGTATTCTTTAAAATATACATGTGTTGATGTATACGCTTTAAATACATTATACACACACCTTGGGTCTAAAAACAAAATCACCAACACCCCAAATTTGCCTTTACTTCAGGAGTAATTAAGAAGATCACAATGCTTAAAGAAAAGCTACCGAATTCACTCGCTGGCCGCAGCGAAGGCGCGCTCAAGGTGTCCGAAGCTGACTAGCAGGAGGGCTCGGCCAGCCGGCTCGCGTGCCTGGCGTCAGCCACTGTGTAAGAGCCTGTGTCCTTGACTCGCACATTTCCTCTCTTGCGGAAGGATAATGAACTCTCCTCTGTTCCTAATTTGCAAAGATATCAGCTTTAGTAAGTGCTGAAATGGGGTGGTGGTGAAGAGGCCTGGGTCATGAACCCGATGAGGTCAGGGCTCTAACCTCTGTCTGGGTCTCTCACAAAACCCAGAGAGGATAGCTAAACGCATCTGTGCGTCCCTCCAGTGCCCCAGCTGAAAGGGCCCCGGCTGGAGGCCGTGCGTGCTCGTGGTGTGTTCGGTCTCATCCTACGACCCGCCTACGGGTTTCTGGAAGCTGTGGCTTCGCCTTGTCCGGGGTTGGCGAGGTCTGACCAGGTCCGCAGAGCCTTAGGCGCAGGTTCCAGCGGCCTCCCAAGTGTACGCAGCCTGGCACCCCCCTCCCCCAGCACAGGGCCGCCCCGACGGCCCAGGCGTGGTACCCGCGAGGCCAGTAGGTGTCGCTGTTCCCCTGCCGGCGGGAGCCAGGAGCCCCGCGCTGGCCCCCAGCTCCACTCCGCCTTCGCCCTGCGGGTTCCCGGACCCACCGGAGCCCGGGAGACTGGGGTCCTTCGCTGTGCCCCCGCCCCACAGGCCTGTGCCCTTGCTCACCTGGCCACGGCCGCAGCGACGCTGGCCGGCCTACGGGAGCGCCTTCGGAGAGAGCAAGGAGAGATGGTCTGTTGAGGCCGAAAGCCGGGTCCCGACGGAAGCGGCTCAAAGCCAGCTTCTCTGGCGGCCACAACTTTCCCTCCTTTCCCTTCCCATACCGTGGCTGGCGGTGGGCACCAGGCGGGCTGGTGAAATGCCGAGCCAGGGGATTCAACCCGGGCTCCGCATCGCCTTTTAAAATAAACAAGAGCTTGAAATCCCAGCTTCGTGGGGGCTAGGCACAAAAAGAGTGAATTGGTTTCAATATGCTTGCCTGGGGCGGGGGGGGGGGGGTAGGGGGGAAAGAAAGAAAAAAAGGAAAGAAAAAGAAAGAAACCTGGGCTGACCCCCTGCGTGAGCCACATACCGTCTTGTGCACACTATGCGCCCAGAGGCCGGGTAACCGACATCGCCGCCCCCTCCCCGGCCCAGGGAAGAGCCCACACTTGGAATGTGGTGGTCCTCCCCAGAAGCGCTGCTCGCTAAGTATTTCCCCTTTGGAAACCTAGCAGTTAGCACGTCTTTGGAATCTGTATTGAAATCCTAGGTATTGAGAATTCTGCGCCTTTCTCTGGCTTCCTGCGGCTCCCTG